TTCTCCAAGGTTATGATACCATTCAGAAACAGGATCAAGTACTCTTTGCAAAATATTCAGACATCACCACCACCCCCAAGAAAAAAAGGAAGAAAAAAGAAATGCAGTCAGGTCCACTTATTTTATCCTATGAACATCTGAGATGAGCACAGACTGACTCAGCTTTTATAATATAGCATAGCTATAAAGCTGAAGAACACTTATCAAACATTTCTGTCAAACACCACCCCTGAGTAGGAGCCAAAGGAGGACTTTGATTTGCGATTCTTCTGTCTGGTACATTCCAGTAAACACAAACAGCTGTCCACTTGCACATTTTGAAAAGTGAATGACAGATATGTTGTGATAAACTTTTCCACCGTATAGAATAGCCAGTATATCACAGAACTGTTAGAGTTCAAAGGGAACCCTAGGAGATCACCTACCATAGGCAGGGACACTTTCCACTAGACCAAGTTACTCAAAGCCCCATTCCAGAAAAAGCTGGTAATGCTTCCATTTTCTAAGTTAAAGCTAATCATCTGTTCAAATGCTGAATATGACTGTCCATTTCTCCATACTAACTTGGAAAAGAAAAACCAATTTCTTTGCATGTCCAGCAAGTACACTTCTCCAATTGAAATATTTACTTTTCTTGGGGAAGAAGCTTTCAAGACATCTATAAAATATTTCAGTTCGAAAAATAATTGCTTGAAAGTATTCTTATTTTCTTTTTTTTGTGTGTGTGTGTGTGAAAAGAAGTGGTGAACATGATCTTTGAGATACTTGGGATTCTTTGTTATTTGATAAAAACCCAAAGATTCCTGGAAGTAGCATGTACACACCACAATTTGCAGAAGATGCAATCTGATCACATGGGCTGTGAGCTATGAAACAAGAAGGGTAAGGGCATCAGCATGAAAATAGGAGGCTGCAAAAGTTCTGAGATGTGAAAAGAAGGTACGCCATTTGGTGTAGGACTTTAAAAGTGAACCAAGAACGCTACAAAGGAGGGAGAAGAGAAATGGCATTAAGTGTTCTAATGTGGCTACTATGGCACTGACCAGCAGGGCCTGCGTTGTAGAAGTCCATTGCAAGAATCTCTCTATACAAAAGTCAAGCCTTTATTTTTTCACAAACTAAGCATAATCTCTGGTCTATTTATGAACACTACAAAAGTTTTGGGGAAATTAACAAAAATGTTGAAAGTGTCGGTAATTTTATTACTCTCTACTAAGCTCCACGTTTGGCAGCAACAGGTGAGAAGTATCTGAAGTAGCAGCCCTTGCTAATCCTTGTATTGGTTGCTTCTAAAGTCAAAATTGTAGGAACTCCACTGACCAGGCAACAAGTTCATATAAGACAACAACGTAAAGATATCAAGAAGTGAATAAATACACAAACATTTCAGTAAAGAGCAGTTATTGCTAATTTATTAGATAGTCTAACTACTAGTAAAATACATTATAATACCAGCATTTGGAAATCTGGATAACTTACTCAACTTTGTAAAAGGCAGAATATTGTAAGATAAAAGGCAATCCTTTAAAAGATTCTAGAAATACTTTATCACAAATCCCAGAAATAGTGTCAATGACACTCAATCTTTCTCTCTCCCTGACAATTTTCACCACCTGCTTTTAGCTAAAGTATAAGCCAAGTCTTGAAAACTGTAAATGACAGGGAAAACTCTACATATAATGTAAGCTGCATCTCATAGCTACCAGACACTCCAGCTGGGAAACCAAATCCTTACTCTTACCCACACTTACAATAGGAGGTACCTTACCAGATTTCTCTCTAGACAGCTATTCCTGATTAGATCATGTCTCCGTTCAGCACTCTGTCATGGTGTAGATCAGAGCTGCAATATACATAGACTGTTTCTCACCAGCAAGCAGATAAGTAAAAGTTCTGTGTCCTAATGGCAGTTTAAAGTCACTAAAGTTATTATAAGTCCTTTAGCTTACCTGGGAACTAGATGGATGGGCAGTGTGAGCTAGCCAGACTCCAAGGCACACCTCACAACTATGCACATGTTCTGCTACCAACCTTATGCCCGTTAGTCATGTTACCTCTTTCAAAGCACGGGGGCCTGCCAATGATGGCAACTGCCTGACTATATCCTCTTTAACTGACAGGCCCCGTGCGGGTGTTTGCAGTTGAAGTGGGTGGGCAGAAAGGGAAAGGGGAAGGGGCAGGGGGCAGAAAGGCAAAGCCCATAGGCATAGTTGGGCATGGGAGAAGGGTGCAGTTCCATACAGGCAAACTGGGCACTGTAAGGCCTGACAGCACATTAGAGATGAGGCCATTTGAGGCAGTCAGGACTATTTTTTTTCATTCACCTCTGCAATAGCGAGCAGTGATCTCATGCTCCAGAGACAGACTCAAGAACAAGGTTTAAAAAAAACTTGAATTTTCAGGCCACAGATGCTACCCATGTCTAAATTCAAAGACAGGCATAAAGTTTTCCTTTAATGGCAAAGGATACAGAAGCCATTACGTTTTCATGGTTGTTCATGAAAGAGCCCAGTCTAAAGACCCCTGAAAGAACTATAGCATCACTGACACTTGAAGGAGAGTCAACTGGAAAGCAAAATATTGTCAGAATCCATATGAATGTTAATTCTGCAAAATTCACAGTCTTACAGTGGAAGTTTTACGTATGTGTATGAAAATGATGTTTATATAATTATATATTATATACATTACATATATATAAAGCAAACATACTCTCACCGTGTATGTATTTATATAGATAAACAGCTGGCAAATCTTCACTGCATCTGTCAGGTTTTCAGAAAATGAAAACAGCCTCAAAATACTAACACTCATGCTGGGATTGCTCAGACTTTGACTGTGGCAAAAGTCAGAATCTACAGAATCTATATGCATAGCTTATACAGGCCTTATAAGAAATGATTAAACTGAAGAAGTGATCAGTTATCTGTCAGTCATGATGATGCATAAATACCAAATAATCAGTACTAACTTCAGAGTCATAGTTAGAGCAACTTACCATTTGCCTAGCAGTACTGAGGGATTAGAAGGAGTTTTTTGTGTTTGTTTGAACAGGCGCATTACCATAAGCTACAATTATACTTACTCCAAGGACATGATCTCTGAAATCTCAAACAGCCATGAGTCTAAGATGCCTATGCAAACCCTACTGAACTGCATCTCAAATATTCTGGCCCCTAGATGTGAGGTTATCACTGTAGAATTGTTCTCCCTTTAGTTGCAAGAAGTAGTTGTGAAAACTTTATCTGAAGCATAAATAAATGTTCCTAAGTAGGAAAACTACTTCAGTAGTTAGAAATAACTACTTAAGTAGTTATTTCAGTATTCAGAGTCAAATGCCTGCTTTCCACAGACCACACAAGACAGAATAACAACAGCAATAGTGAAATAAACTGATTGCTAGGATTTCTCTCCTAGTTTGCACAGAACAAAGTTTTGTTGCTGATCCAGAACTGATAATGAATGAGATACTGTTCAGATAGGCCTGTAAATCACAACTTAGCCAAACATGTAATTTAAGCATAGGTCCCCGTTAAGCAAAGAAACAAGTCTTTCCATTCTAGGTATCTGCACAGGTTATTGATACCCACCACTACTGCTTGCACATGATACTGAAGAGCCACTTCTGATGTAAAGCTCAGGTATGCACTTCCACCATTAAAAAGGAGCTCACACTACTTGTTCAAAACACTGCTCCTACCCTCATAGACAGGAGATCAACATTGTGGGTTAGGCTAGCCCACTGGTGACTGAGCTAGAAAGTGCAGCATTGCAATTCAATTGCTTGAGCTTGTAGTCAAATTGTGACACACTGGTCTGTTCCAGACATCTGCTCTGAGGAGTTTGTGGCTGCAAGATCCATGCTGACCAGCACATCATGAAAGTACAGGACAGAACCCACTGTGAAGATATGTGCCTCTTAAGCTCACATCTCAAATTTCATTTCCTCATGAAACATTTCCTCTCCATTACCTGCTATAAGAAGAGTCTCATACACCAGCCCCGCATCCACATCTACAGAAGCATACATGCACCCATCAGTGTATCCCATCTAACTAGCCCAGGCCTGCATACACACACATCAGAGCCACAAACCACATTGAAGAAAACTTGCCACTATGCAACCCACCATTTACCATATAGATAATCCCCTGCTGATAAATATGCATACATATATTACATATCCATGTATGACATACAAGACAACAATAAAAACACACTATCTACCCCATTCCTCTGTGCAGAAACAGCCCACCTGTGTGTTGCACAATACCCCTATACATACTGCTTGTACCTCCTGTCACCCCTGAAGAGCTCAGGCTGTTTCAGGCCTGGGACTGTGTGTGTGGGGCTGCATGCTGACATGTACAAGAATCATGTGAACATTGTCTAAGAGTGCATGTACACGAATGTGTGACTGCATAAATAGTGTGTATAAATGCCTACAGGTGTGTGAGCCTAGTGTGACGGCTAGTGTATGCATGCATATGTGAAAGTGGCATGTATATACGTGCCTGCATAGCTTATGTGAGCATATGCATGGTTCACAGCACACGCATAAAAGACTATATATGGCTGATGTGTAGAGCGCTGCGAATAGATGCATCAGTGCCTAGCTCTAGAGTGTGACTTTATAGACTGGGCTGCAGCGTGTGTGTATGCTAGTATGTGTGCAGTGCATGTGTCAGCTCCTCTGTGTGTGTGCAGTGTATGTGCACGTGTGTAATGCATGTGTAAGCCCCTCCGTGTGTGCGTCTGTGCTTGCGCCTGCCCCTGCAGTACACTCCGCGACAGACGATAACGTGTTCCTGCGCCTGCCCCCTGTCCCTGTGAGTCCCGAGGGTAGCTTGCTACCCTGTTGCGCTGCTGTCCGTCAGCCCCTAAGTGCGGATGCGTGACTGCGGGTGTGACGGTGCCCGTGTGCGCGGGGCGCAGGACGCAGCCCACCGCTGCGGTCCCCACTCGGGACGGGACTGGACGGGACGGGGCTGCGCCGGTACCTGCCGAAGTGTCCCAGGGAGTCGAAGAGCAGCTCGAAGCCGAGAGCCATGGCGGGACGGCAGCAACCCAGGAGCCTCCTTGTCGCTGTCGCGGCGGTGCGGAGACGGGCACCTTCTTTCCTGCCCCCTGCCGTGCCGTGCCGTGCCGTGCCCCGGCGGGGTCCAGCGCCCCGCCCGCAGCCCCGCCGCAAGGGCGGTGTGCGCGGCCCCTCCGCCTCAGCGGGCGGGACGGGGGGCGGGCATAACGGTCACCGCCCCGCTGCCAACCGTCGCCCGCGCGGAGCCGGTCAGCAGCCGGCGGCACCAAACTCCTGTCCCTTTTCGGAGCTGAGCGAGTGGCTCGATCCCTCTCCCAGGCCGAGCGCCTCGGGCAGCTCCTTCTAAAAGGTGGGTCTCTGCCCACGCCGCCGAGAGGCATCTCTGTTTTCCGCACTAAAATGAACATTAAAGGAGGCAGTTGTATGCTTACATCTTCCTGTGGCAATCGTGTATAATCTAATGTACTTGGGCTCTTGCGTATTTCACATGGATGTTTTCAATCAGAGGAAGGTATAAACGATTTTCTCCTCAGGACATTACCGCGCTGTTCGTTATTTTTAGTAGCCTTATAATCTGCTCTGTTATTCGAATATATTATGTTTGTTTTTCCAAAGTTATAGTACACAATGTAAAATAATATCATTTAATAAGGGTAAAATACGTACTCTGTCCCGTATCTGTATGACTGCCATTAGTACTCAGATTTGTCACAAAGCCTTAATTATTTTGGGGTTTACTTTTCTGTCTTACCCAGATAATAAATTTGAACTTGTTTAAGGATGAGCAAAGCGAGTTACAATGGGAGATTGTTGTATTTATTTAGCGGGTTTTGTTGGGGCAGCTAGGCTCGAGCAGCCCAGTCACTCTGGGCTCTGAGAGTTAGGCAAGATATAGAAAAAAACAGGTGGAGCTGCAGCTCTCATATTTAAGGGGTTTCCTCTCTGCAGCATCTGATTTCCCTCAAAGTTCAAAGTTGTCCCTGCTCTGATTGAGGAGATGGATCAGAGGCTGTCCAAAGCCTCCTTCCAACCTAAACAATTTAATGATTCTGTGATGAGACGCATTTCCAGCAGATTGAATGAGCTCCTTCTGGGATGCCCTATTGAAAAACACAGGGGAAAAAAAACAAATCAAACAAACAAAACCACAAGACAAAAAACCACCCCCTGAAACCAATAGAAACAAAAAAGCCAAGTCAATTCAATCTTATTATATTCATACTTCATTTTTAGGAAGCGCAGAAAAAATTGAGAAGTAAACCCCCTGTTAAATCACTGGAAGTCAACCTTCCTTTTCCAAAATCTGACCCAAAAACTTCTGCTACCTCATAGGCTGTCAGGCTCCACCGTTTCACAAGGAAATGTGCCTTTAAGAGTCTCTGGCACCAAGCAAGCACCACAACTGTTCCTCTGCACAGAGCAGATGTTGGGGCTTCAGGGTGACAATGTGTTCCAATGTAGACCTGGAAAAAGCAGATGTTTCTCAGGCTCCTTGGCTCCGAGTGACTCCTGACCAGACCAGCAAAATGAGCAAACATCACGTTACACAACTCGGAATCTGAATAATAAGGTCAGCAGAGGATTGCTTCTCACAGCTACTGTATTGTTAGGCCCCTCACCTCACCCAAGAGCTTTGAAGGCAATGCTGCTTTTGACAATGCTCCCCATACACGTTTGTGCATCTGAAGAGTTTTGACACAGAGTCTAGAGTTTGTTGCAGCTACTTTCTTAGGGAGTTTGTCGCAGTTACTTTCTTAGACTGTATAAACTAGTAAGTCTAAAGGCAGATTTGTTTGCTTTCAGTAAGATTTTTTTAATTGCTTGGGGTTTAGCCTATAAATATAGCATTAAATTTAATCACCCTGTTTTTTTTCTGGAGAATGTTTTCCAGGTTTGAAATGGTATGTGCTTGAGCGCAGCACTGGTACTTTAACAAAGTCTTTCTTTCTCCAAAGAGCCACACTAGTTAAATAGCTATTTGCAAAAACAAACACCAATGAATAGTAAACATTCCAGCTAAATACTGCATTGCTACTCATGTGCCTGGTTTTAGTGTCTTGTCTCTTACAGCAAGTAAATTCATCAGTTTTCAACAGCATTATGGTACAGGGAATATCTATTTTTGGTGTAAAAGTCAAGCAGGAAAGAAACAGATAAATCCCTTTCAGCACCTTTTATATATATATATATATATATATATATATACACCTAAAATGGTCCATAAATAATTTTCTCTCTGTGGAATCTCTCACAGGCATCCTTGCACAAACTTCTCTCTATGCTTGCCTTTGATAATATTATGACTTTAGTGCCCATATCAGAGTAAAAAAAAGGAAATTTGTACTCACTCCTATTAAAGTTAATAACAAACTTCCACATGCCTCCATTTGTAAAGGTTATTAATGTAATGTCTGCAATGTCTGCTCTCTTAAACATGTGGTGGTCACAAATTTGCCTGGTTCCTTTCAAGCCTGAAAAGATGCTCAACATGCTTTAAGCCTGCCCTCCTCCTATCCTGTTACACCAGTGCTACATGAAGCAGTAACTGTGCTTTTAGTCCCTCTTCACTAAGCTGTTTTTCATCAGTCACCTAGAAATAGTCATAGTACAGTTCACATAGACTACACATGGCTCTTTCAAAAGGATTGTGCTGTGTGATAAACCCTATGCTACAGAAAATACAGGGAACATCTAAAGAAGTGAAAGATACCTATAACTAAAACATGCCAAGACTGTCTACACCCAAGCTCTACTTACTCCAGAATTTTAAGGCTTTTATTAGCAGAAGGAGCTGAAAGGAGGTTATGATCTCTTCCCTATAATGTCTTTGCAAACCACTGGGATGGAAAGATTGAGGGTGTCCACAACAGACAACACTCTTCAAGGCATTCCAGAGGTTACAAATGTTGGTCTTTTAACCCTGCAAGGGGAATATGTAATGGCTCATCACAAGGAAGCCTTCAGTTACAGGTTTAACCTAATTTCTGGCACTCAGAAGAAGGCTGTTTTTCAACTGAGCCACTTAATATTGCACAATCCTTGAGGAAAAAGTGATCTTAACTTGTAATGGGAGAAGACACAGTTTACAAAATAATCTCCTTCAGTTTGTCATTCCCACTAGGGAAAATCCGACATCTACTGGCAAGGGCTATTTCTGGTCTCCCATTTTTTTAAGTCAGATTGTAGTATCGCCAAAATATGAGAGATATATGAGGAACATGCCTGTGACATGGTTCTGGTACATTCATACATGAACACTTAGCTTCAAATTACAGCTGAACCTTAAACACCGAAATGATGTGGATGGCAGATAATTGGTAGTGTTGCCAACAGCTTTCCATGGACTCTTCATAAATGGAGATAGTTTCTGACCCATCTGGTTCCTCACTCCCTTTGACAAGGCTTGTAACCCACAGATGAGGAGCAGTATTTACAGGGAGTGCAGGGAGTGCAGCTGTGCCGAACAAGAAACACAAATCATCTTACTACTGCCACAAGCACTCGAGTCCAGCATGTGGGTGGAGTCCATCCCTTAGTGATCTCCAATGTCTGCTTTTATCACACTAGTGAAAACAACTCCCTGAAATCAATCACAGCATAGCTTGAATGTAACATTCTCTCACCTCCTGTTGTGAAGTTACCCATTTATCTTCTCTTCCAGGGAAAACCTGCAGGACCATTGCAAATGCATTTATCAATGAAAACACAATGTAATCTTCTAGAGAGCAAGCCCCAAATGAGTCTTACTTGCATAAATGTCTGCCAGTCATTGAATTGCTGGTGTTGAAAAAAGCTCACAGAAATTTTGTCTTCATTAAAAGTAGTGAAGTGATGCAGAGTTTTTGTCTTCTGGGAAGTAAAGTAAAGCATTATATGAGTTTGACTTCAGCGGTTTTGGGGCTCTGCAATTAGACTGCAACCGCTTGTGTATCATTATACACTTAACAGACTTAAAAACATGGTTAGTAGTGCAGCAAGTTGGTTGATAGAGCAGATAAAGCATATGCACACAGCTATGCAAAAACTTCTGTGATTTTCCTGAACTATGAGGAAGGAAGCCTGCAATTTGCTGTTTCCTTGTGACACTCCAAGCATTTTCTCATCAACCTTAAAGAGCTAGAGCCAGAGCCATAATCTCTGTCTAGTGGGAGAGTGGCTTTTCAGCAGCTGCTACATGACAAATAGGCTCAATACACCTTTTCCTGCCTGCTGCTACTCAAACCACAGGCCAGGCAGGCAAAGGCAGTTGTAGCAGTCCAAAGTAATTTGCTATGGCTTTGGCTATATTTTTTCTTCCACTGTCTCCTGGATGGGACTCTGGAATAATCACAAGAGACTCCTCTAGAGACATCACTCAGGATTTATATTCAGTGCAATAAAGGCCCAGACAGGATTTTGGAATCCTAGAGAGTGTCTCCTAGCTGTACTACAGACATTTGCAAGGGTGCATCCAACCATGATACTTCAGTGGGGGCTACTTCAGTTTCACGTTTTCAAGAGCTCATCCTCCACAGTATCCTTTTGTCTGGAGTTATTCCAGCCATACAGATGGTGAATGCATGTGAACAGAGTACTTCATAATGGAAACTTTCTTTACTGGTCCAATATGAATAAACACCCTTCTTGAATAATCTAAAAAGTATTCAGAAATTCAGAAAAGCAAGTTGAATGTGCAGGAAAACAATGGGAGCTTTACAAGTCATTACTCCATATAAACTCTTTGGGGTAACAGAGGCCCACTAGTCTGAAAGGAATTTGGCAATGAGAATTTATCTGAAAATGGTTTCCATTTTGGACTACAGCTACAGGCTGTACAAATAGACTTTGCCTTCTAGGGAAAGCAGAAGCTAAACTCTTATTCTGTCTTTACAATAGAGTTCTTCAGGGGTGCCTTCTAAAAGTCAGACAAATACAATAGACATCTTAAAAATACTTTTAGCAAAAGTTTAATCTAAAGAGAAATTCCAAAGGGAAAACTCTAATTAAACATAACATGGTACACTCAAAAGCCCACCTTTGGATTTGTTCTACTTATTATTATTTTAGTATGCTTCCCCCTTTCCTGTAGGATCAGTGATCACG